ATCAACTACTCACCTCAGCTATGTGGTAATAGCCCCTAACTTTAGAAAGGAATAATTAAGTTAAAAATGAAAATTTAAATTTGTTAGGTAAAATGTTTATTTTCTGGCTGGGGATGAATGGATATTTGCATTGCTATAAGTATTGCACACACACACACAAACGCACACACACACACACATTATATATATATATATATAAATATATATAAATAAATATATATATATATATATATATATATATATATATATATATATATATATATATATATAAATAAATATTTATATATATATATATATATATATATATATATATATATATATTAATATATATAGGCCTATATATATATATATATATATATATATATATATATATATATATATATATATATATATATATATATATATAACGCGCGACATACAAATTTTGGTCGTCATATCATTACCATCGTTCTACAGCAACATCAACACCAGTTTGTAAGACGTTTTTTTTTTAAACTTTATTTTGTTGTTGTTCCAATAATACATGTTGAATTGTATGCAGAATTTCATTTGAATTCTGACGTATCTGTTTTGCGTATCTTTCATTTCCTCCTATTTGAATCACCCCTCCTCCTGTCGCGAGCAAGCTGTGATTGTATGTACTCTATACATCCACCCCCTAGCCCCCATCTTGTGCTTTTAACTCCACGCTTCGGTGACTTAGAGTAATCTGCTAAACGATCGTTTCTGCTTCACTTGAATGAGATTCTTTGGTCTCTTCTTTAGCTACATCGTTGTATTGTATAAACAACTAATAGCAGTATTCAAACAAAGTGCATGTGTGCTGTTAACCAGAGCTTTCGAATGTAGATTAAACGAACCCACTAAACCGTATGTCATTTAAGATATAGATCGTATGAACATACTAAATCCTATGACATTTTGGATAAATAACGTAGGAACCTACTAAACCGTATGACATTTTGGATAAATATCGTACGAACATACTAAATCCAATATCGTAGGAACATACTAAACCGTATGTCATTTAAGATATAGATCGTATGAACATACTAAATCCTATGACATTTTGGATAAATAACGTAGGAACCTACTAAACCGTATGACATTTTGGATAAATATCGTACGAACATACTAAATCCAATATCGTAGGAACATACTAAACCGTATGTCATTTAAGATATAGATCGTATGAACATACTAAATCATATGACATTTAGGATATAGATCGTAGGAACATAATAAACCATTTGACATTTACAATATAGATCTTCCGAATACACTAATCATGTGACATATAGGATATAGATCATTCGAACATACTAAACCATTAGACATTTAAGATTTAGCCTTGATTGTACGAATATACTAAATCATATGACATTTAGGATATAGATTGTACAAACATACAAAATCACAAGGCATTTAGGACATTTTTTTTTAAACAAGAACTTCTAATACAAGTTGACGATTTAAAAAAAAATAGTTTTCTTTCTTTATTTTACCTAGGTGTCAATCTTAATTTTAATTTTCGGCTATAATTTACTGTTGGTCGGTACAGAATGTGATTTGGTCGGCGTGGTCAAGTCGGTAAAGCTCATGGTTGCTAAACCGAAGAGTCTCGAGTTCGAACCCTCGGGCAGATGAGGCTCGTTATCTGGGGACAGCCACTCTTCTAGGAGAGACAACTCCAAAATTAAACAACTGCTGCCTTGTAGTTTGTTCTTGGTTGAACAAAGGCTATGGAAGCAAATCCAAAAAGAAAAGCAGGCTGAAATCGGAGTCAATGGCGCATAACCAGTTGACACGTAATCCTTAATTGTGATGGAAGCATGGTCGAGTCGGCAAAGCTCATGGTTGATTAAAAAAAAGTCTCGAGTTCAAACCCTCTTGCAGATAAGGCTCGATCCCTCCCAACACTAAAAATTAAGAACGAAGAAGAAGAAGAAGATAAAGCAAGACGTTTGAAGCTCGTTTACAAAGTTTTAAAACAATAATGAGTATATTAGAAAAATAGAGAGAAAAAAACTGATTAAAAAAGTAAGTTGTAGATTTTTTAAAATATGTAGTGTAATGCCTAAAAGGTGAACTCTACTTCACTTGCCCCATGGACCGTTAAGTTCGAAAAGAGAACTTAGTCCTATGCTTTAATAATTCAAACATTATTCACACATTATTCACACATTATTCAAAATGGCGTTCCTTGTCAACGTATCAGACCCCATGAAAGATGGTGATAACGATACTCTAACTCTCACTTGTATTTAGTAGCCCGTAGTTGAGATCTTTAGGATAAGCAATCCAGTTTTAAAGCTAAACATATTTTTATAATTTTAATAAAACTATTTTACATATTTCATTTTCCATCGCTCTAGAGTGTTCATTCCAATGAGGGTGCAAAAATTAAAAAAAAAGTAACTAATCAAATAATTATATGCTATAGATTTGTAATGCATGAATCAAATGTTACACGAAAAGTACGCAACAATATCAGTGGAGAGATACAAACAAGCCCCTCTCACTCCCCGGCATTCAGGATTCGAAGCACTGTAGTTCAGCCATAGAACTTTATCTAAGCAGAGACTCGCTTAGGCGAGAAGGCACTTAAAAATTCTCTCGAAATAGAGCGGACTGATGGTGGACAGTAGAGTTTCCATTATTGCTTACAACAAAGCTCGATCTTAAAGTATCCAGACTTGGCGAATAGTAAAGTTCCCTGTTAAACTTGTGAGGCAGGTGAAGTAGAGTTCACCTGTTTCTGTGACCTCGATGTGAGGTGATAGTGTGGTCAGCACTATGCCCAGCTGTCTTTACTTTTCCTAACGTGAGTTAGGTACCCATAAGAGCTGGGCGGACTCATGGACGTTCTACTGACATGAACCCGGAATCGAACTTGAGACTTTCGGGTTAGCAGTCTAGCGCTCTACCGCTTGGCCACGCCGTGCCACCATGGCGAATAGACCAAAATACAAAAAGTGGATGAAATAATGTAGAAGCCACGCTAGTGTTTGGGTATATCAAAACAACTTTCTTTAAAACACCGATATTTGAATATCAAACAATCAAACATGTCTTCATGAATTTAACGACGTCTAAATTCTATAAAATCATGGAATTTACATTATAAGCAGTCATTGATATAGAAATGTGCTTTTGAAGTTTTAAACATGGACATTGAATGAAATACTGTATAATTAAATCACAGGTGCAGACATTCAGTTTAACTGTTTGCGACTCGAGATTCTGATTTCCCCTCTCTCTACATTAATTTATATGTATATATATATATATATATATATATATATATATATATACATAATAGTATATTTTTTTTGTATCCACTGTTCGAGCAGCCGCATGATTTAGTGCTCTCCATAATGATTACAGTTCAGAAAAAAATATATTTAAACATTACATGGTTTTAAAAAAATAACTTATCTTAGATTTAAATCTCTATACATCTTTAAAAAAAAAAAAACTTAATCTTTTGAATGTATATTTCGTCGTCGAAACTATTTTTGCTAACAATGTATTACCCCGAGGGCCTGAACAAAAATTGCACGCCCTGTCGATAATGGAAATTTTTTTTACGGTAGATAAATCTAAAAAACCGGTTGTTGTTTTTAATCTCCTACCCCCGCCCCAGCCCGTGGTAGGACAAGGTCGACTGTCTATCAAATAAAGTCAGCTATTGTTTAGATCAGGGGTCTCCAAAATTTTCAGTCCGAGGGCCGCATGAACTATCAATTTTCAGTTCGGGGGCCAGTTTCTCCCAGGAATGTCTTTAATTTTTCTGGGCAATGTTCCTCAGCCATCACAAACAAACGTTTTTTTTTCCGTGGACAAAAAGATCTCCGCGGGCCGGATGAGAGGACCTCGCAGGCCGCATACGACCCGCGGGCCGTAGTTTGGAGACCCCTGGTTTAGATCAACAATTCTTTAACTAAAGGCTAGGTCATGAGTTTACAAAAAACATCAAAAATGGCAGATTTGAGTTTTTATATTGTAATATCAAGCGTGGTATAACAATAGTTAGTGTTGAAAGTTGATCGTTGTACCAAAATACGAACACACTGCTACAAGTCCTTATAGGGAGCGGCTAAACACCCATCTTATATGCAGTGGATTTTGTTTTAAGCGGTATGTTATTAAACAGAGAGGAGCCTCGTCTTCGTTGTTTTTTTTGTGGTTAATGGGGAGGTTAAAGTCAGATTTAGATCATGAGGTTCTAGCACAGACTGTTTTTTAAAAAAGAGATTTTTTTTTAATTAAAAAAATATCTAATAAATTATTATTATTATTATTATTATCATCATCATCATCATCATCATCATCATCATCATCATCATCATCATCATCATCATCATCATCATCATCATCATCATCATCATCATCATCATCATCATCAACATCATCATCATCATCATCATCATCATCATCATCATCATCATCATCATCATCAACATCATCATCATCATCATCATCATCATCATCATCATCATCATCATCATCATCATCATTATTATTATTATTATTATTATTATTATTATTATTATTATTATTATTATTTAGATTTACCTTTTGTTTTCGTTAAATGAGTTTTTTTTTTCATTTTAATTAAAGTGATACGATTATTTTTTTCATACCCAATATATTTTACTACGCCTTGGCCTAGCAAGTATTTATACTCTTTTACACATTATGTGCCCTTCCTTATTGCTCCTCCCACGAAATATGGGCCCAAAGATCTGAACTAATATGCACCTCCCCAGGATATTAATAACTCTAGTTGTTGTCCTACTTAACTAATAGTCCTGCGAAGTCAAATACATGTTTTAAACGGTCGTCCATAATCCGCCACCCACCCCACTCCCCCCCCCCCCCGCGTTGTCCTCTATGGTTATCTCTAGCTTGCTACATTCAATTCACCAGTTTAATTGTACACACGAAACGCACTTACCCTTAGCTTTCTCTCCCCCGACCCCCCCCCCCCTCTAAAATGATTTTTTATTTCCTTTCTGTCCGCGGTATTAAC